CCACGCACCCACCCAGCCCCACCCTCCTCCAGGCTCTGCCCCCCCTCCTCTTCCCCGCACCCACCCACACACACGCCCCCAGCGAGGCTCACCCAGGCCTGGTGCTGCTGCTCCTGCTGCTGCAGCTCGTTCTCGTCCACGCAGGGCCGGTCCAGGTTGAACCAGAGCGCCTCCGTGACTCTGGGGAAGAGGGAGGGGAAGAGGGTGGCCATGCCTGCCTGCCTGCCTGCGAAGGAAAGGGGTGGGGGGCGTGTCACCCGAGGGGGTTGCCAGCCTCCAGGCGGGGCCTGGAGATCTCCCGGAATTGCAACCGACCTCCAGGCAATGGAGCTCAGTCGCCCCTGGAGGAAATTGCACTTTTTGGGAGGGCGGTGAGGGGGCTCTACAGCATCACCCTCCCCTCTGCTGAGCCCCCTCCCCAAATCCCACTAGCACCGCCCCCTCCGCCCAATCTCCAGAAATTCCCCAAGCAGGAGTTGGTAACCCAGGCAGCAAAGAGGCACTTGGGGGCGGGGGGGCCACTCAAATGCAAGGGGGGGAGACAGAAAATGGGAGAGGGGCTCCCTGGGCACCCATGGGGGGGTCTGGTTGCTACAAACACATCCGGGTCATGCCCACCTCTGTCACGTGGCGTCTGGGTTGTCTCCTGCGGACGGAAGCGCGGGAAACGCCGGGGCCGATTCGAACTTCCGGAAATACCCGGTGATCCCGGAAGTGATTGTGAGGATTATTTTAAAAAAAACAAAAACAGTTGCTTCCTCCGAGACGCCTTCGACGGCAGTCCACAGAAATACGCCAGAAGCCAATTCACAGAAACGTCGTTGCCTTAACGAGCACTTCCGGATCGCAACGGAACAGGCTGGCCATTTATAGTGGCATAGAGTGTCAAGTGTCCAGTGCGCATGCGTAAGAAATATTCCTCCTCCTCCTCCTCCTCCTCCTCCCCCCTTTCCTGTGAGGACGGGAAATGGGCGTTTGTTGCGCTTGCGCAGTGCGATGCGCCATGTTCCGGATAGCTTTTCTTTGCGGTATAGATTTGAATTTTGGAGGGAGGGGGTTGCATTTATTTTCCTTTACTTTTAGCTTCTTCTTTTTAAAAAGATGCACATAGTTAATTCAAAATCAGTGCCATGTAAAGGTAAAGGTTTCCTTGCTCGAAAGCCAGTCGAGTCCGACTCTAGGGTTGCGGTGCTCATCTCCGTTTCCAAGCCGAAGAGCCAGCGCTGTCCGAAGACGTTTCCGTGGTCATGTGGCCGGCATCAGTGCAATGATGCATGCTTAAAATATTCGCGTACGAAAGTGTCTGTGTAAAGCGAGAGAACAAAGTTCGACGTTTTAAGACGGACAAAGTTTTATTCTGAGTATGAGCTTTTGTGTGCACAACTCACACTTTCTTCTGTTGCTCCTGACCAACACGGCTCCTTCCCACCTGAATAAATCATGCCAGCCGGGGTCTTTCAATTCTCACACTGCAGCAACTTCTCCGATAAAAATTGATCTGCCTCTGCGGTTCAAATCTCCTATTTGGGCTGCTCCCCCACCCCCATCAGTGGTTTCTGTGCATGCTCATGTAAGCCTCTGGCAACCTGGTGGGAGTGACGAAGCTACTGGAATAGTCAGTTTGGTGTAGTGGTTAAGTGCTCGGACTCTAATCTGGGAGAACCGGGTTTGATTCCCCACTCCTGCACTTGCAGCTACTGGATGACCTTGGGCAAGCCATAGTTCTGTCAGCGATGTCCTTGGAAAAGAGCAGTTTCTGTCAAGAGCTCTCTCAGCCCCAACGACCTCACAGGGTGTCTGTTGTGGGGAGGGGGAGGGGAAGGAGTTTGTGAACTCCTCTGAGACTCCTCTGGGTAGTGAAGGGCGGGTATAAATCCAATCTCTTCTCTTCTTCCATTTTATCCTCACAACAACGTTGTGTGGTAGGGTATAGGTACATGTTCCTCGTTTCCCGCAACCAAAAACACACAAAGAATTTATTCAGTTTCTCCACCATCTCCCCAATGCAATCCTTTTCCTTTCTCACTCCCTGCTCCTGATATATTTCAAGAAGTGTTTATGGTTTGGTGTAGTAGTTAAGTGCCCGAACTCTAATCTGGGAGAGTCGGGGTTGATTCCCCACTCCTCCACTCGCACCTGCTGGGTGACCTTGGGCAAGCCATAGTTCTGACAAGAGCTGTTCTTGAAAAAGCCATTTCTCTCAGAGCTCTCTCAGCCCCACCGACCTCACAGGGTGTTTTGGGGAGGGGAAGGGAAAGGAGACTGTAAGCCACGAGGTAAACAGACATCTAACCCTATAATGACCGGAGTTTAGACCTTGCAACACACACATTTCCAACAGTGTTACCTGGGAGTAGGGCTGTGGAGAGGCTGGAAAGAAAAATATCCTGTCCCTTTAATAGAAATTTCCTGTGTGGAGACGGCACCTGAGGCTTCTCATGACAGAGAAGTAAAGAACATCACCTGGTAAAGAATATCCCAGTGGGCCTCTGGTAAAGGGACAGGTGAGGCAGCCCCTTATGCCTGGATTGTGGCCCAACAGTGCAGTGCTATGTAGAGTTACAGCCTTCTAAGCCCGTTGACTTCAGTGGGTTTATAACTGTGAAAGTCTGTTTAGGATTGCGCTGTAAGTCCTCTTTTGCAGCACAGGTCACGCTGCAGGCAAAGTCCTTTCTGCTCTCAGAATCTGCCCCATCCATAAAAACATCCTCACCTGAGTGTGGGAGAAGTTGTGTCGTGTACCTATCCTGCCTGGCAAAGACACAAGTTTCCTCCAAATCAGAAATGCAGATTTCTGCAGATTCTAATACGATTGCGGGTTAATCAGTCACCAGTCTAGAACAGGCCTCTGAAATAAATGTCTCGAGGAACTGCCAGATCTATTGCAAGAAAAAGAAGAAAGAAATGTTTACAGTCTTTTAGCACAGCTTGGAAGTTGCCAAAGTAGGAAAACGCAAAGTCTGCTCCAGGTAGAATTGTGTGGTGTAGAAGTTAGAGTAGGGCGTGGAGACCTGGGTTCCAGTGTTCCCATGTTCTCTAAAGTGTACAAAGGTGACTTTGGGCCAGTCATTCTGTCTCAGTCTAACCTACCTCACAGGGTTGTTGTGGGGATAAGAGGACCGAGGCGACAGCCATGCTCACCACCTTGACCTCTTTATAGGAAGTATAAAGAAACAAAAACACAAGGGTAGACCATCAACAAATATATAAATTTCACAAGTTGCCAGTAGACACAAGTCTATTGAAACATGGTAGCATTACATCACTTTATCTGTTGTGATTTAATGGTTTTTACTGTTTTATATTGTTTTATGTATGGGCTTATGCCCCTGTGTGAGCCGCGCTGAGCCCGTTCGCGGGGAGGGCGGGGTAAAAATGCAAATAAAATAAATAAATAAATAAAATAATCAATAAATAAAGTAGAATTGGCGGTCACCGTTCAAAGACAATGGTCACAATAATGGTAATAAACAATGAGAGATTCCTCTGAATCCTTTCATGCAATAGTGTCCAAAGGAGCTCGAAGTCCACCAACAAGGCAGAGGATGTCCCGAAGAACAAAGAAACGTCTGCAGCCGAAAGACGCCCTTCCCAGGTATGCCAGACGTCTCGAAACATTCTTCCTCAGTTACGCTGCTGAAAAATGGAACCAGATTTCCACAATAGTGTAGGCACAGCTCATGTCTCCAATGGAATCCATGGTTCTCTTTGTAGGAAGAGCAGTCTTCAAGCCGCAGCTGGACGAACACTTGTCCGGGATGCTTTAGGCTGATTCTGCACCGAGCCGGGGGTTAAACGACTCAATGGCCTGAGGCGGCCCCTTCCATGAGTCTATCCTTATATTCTAGGAAGCCCTTACGGCTGGGAGGGGCATTGCCTGGTGCCCCTATCGAAAGCCTTTCTTAAAATACAGGGATGCAGTTTGCCCCCGTGTCTATTTCAGGCTGCAATTGAGTGGGTGCTTCAGGCCACAAAAGATGTGACAGAGGGGGAATACGCCTTTTGTAAGGACAACCCGGGGGGGGGGGCGACAGCAGTCCCTAAATAGTAAAAAAGGGACACCTGAAGTCCATCCCCCTGTTATGTACGCGGACCACCACCAGGGGTCCACGGCTACAGTAGGGAGCTTAGCTCCTCTAAACAATAAAAGCCCAGGATCCTGGTTCCCCCAGCATTCACCAATAGCAACTTGGCGGGAAATTCAAACCCTCCAACGGGACTGTGGGTGTGTATATAGTTGGTTTTGCAGTTCCTGTGTGAAGTACAATAAATGTGTCTCAACGCACGTCGTGGTCCGAGTCTTCCATGTGTCGAACCCAGAAAACAGATGCCAAAAGGCCTGGAATTGTCAGCTCCAGTTCATGAAATACTTGGAGATTTTGGGGTTTGGGGAGGGAAGGGAAGGGAAGGGACCTGAGCGGGGCGTAATGCCATAGAGTCCACCTTCCAAAGTGCCCATTTTCTCCAGGGGAACCGATGTCTACTCAGCGGTTCAAAAGCTGAGCAAGTAGATAAATGGGTACCTCCCTAGGTGGTGGCAGCAAAGCAGAGCGGCAGAGGAAGAACGGTGGAGCTGGCGGCAGGTGGCGGCGGGACGATCCGGCAAGAATATGGCAGCGAGTCGACATCAGGCAGCAGGCGTTCCAGCCGGGGATTGGTCCAGAGCCGCAGCAACGCAGCGACACAGCATGGCCGGAGCCAATCGGACAGAGGCCAATGCAGCAGTCGTCGAGCAGTCGTGGACTGTGGGAACTACCCCGGAAGGAGCCGCTGCAGAGCCACAACGAGGCAGAACCCACCCTGAGGAAGCCGCAAGAAGAAGAGTGAACAAGAAGCTAGCAGGGTGCCTGGTAGGCACTCACCTTCCCCTATATACATTGTGTGGCCCTAGTTAGGAAAGTGTAATATGCCCTTGTAAAACCGCTCAGAGCCTTCGGGATGGAGCGGTATAGAAATTGAATTTGTATGTATGTCTGTCACCTGGAGACCAGCTGTAATCTCCAGCCGCCACCTGGAGACTGGCAACCCGACAAAAAAGCCAACGGGACCAGTGTCTTCATCAGCTGCAGGAGAAATAAAACGTCAGCTAAAAACATCAGCCTTCTCTACCTTCTGTCTCACATGCATGATTTGTAATTTATCATGTCCGAGTTTGATTCTCCACTCCTCCACTTGCAGCTGCTGGATGACCTTGGGCAAGCCACAGTTCTGATCAGAGCTGTCCTTGAAAAAGAGCGGTTTCTGCCAGAGCTCTCTCAGCCCCACCTACCTCACAGGGTGTCTGTTGTGGAGAGGGGAAGGGAAAGGAGTTTGTAAGCCCCTCTGAGACACCTTTGGGTAGTTGTTCAGTCGCACAGTCGAGTCTGACTCTTTGCGACCCCATGGACCAGATCACGCCAGGCCCTCCTGTCTTCCACCGTCCTCTGAAGTTGGCTCAACTTCATGTTTGTTGCATCTATGACACTGTCCAACCATCTCATCCTTTGCCGTCCCCGTCTTCTTTGACCTTCAATCTTTCCCAGCATCAGGGTCTTCTCCAGGGAGTGCTCCCTTCTCATTGGGTGGCCAAAGTATTTGAGCTTCAGTTTCATTATCTGGCCTTCCAGGGAACAGTCCGGGTTGATTTCTTTTAGGATTGACTGATTTGATCTCCTTGCAGTCCAAGGGACTCTCAAGAGTCTTCTCCAGCACCATAGTTCAAAAGAATCTATTCTTCGGCGGTGGGGTATAAATCCAATCTCCACCTCCTCCTCCTCCTCCTCTCCTTCTTCCTATCTCTGGGGTCACGAAAGTCAGGGTGAAACTAGGTTGATAAGGGAGGCCCAGGAAGCTCAGCTTCAGAGCCTCTATCTGTTTAGAATGTGATAAATGTATAAAGATTCCAAAAGGCAAAAGTCATGTGAGGCCAAGGTCATGCACAGAGATCTCGGTACCCAAAGGCCACAGCACTTAGCGGAGTTCTGAAGCCTCCTGGGAAACAGAACTGAAGATTCGACTACAGAGGCTCATTGCTATAGAAATTAAAGTATCATAGCAGTACCAGAGGTTTAGCAGAGGACTGAAGCTCAAATCTGGTTTTTAAAGTTTTATCAGCATTCTGTTTAGGATTTTATGTTTTTTACATTTGTAGATAGGAACTCTCAGTCTGGGGCAAGGGATGCTCTGTCTTCTTGGTGCTTTGGAGGGGGGGTCAACAGTGGGAGGGCTTCTAGTGTCCTGGCCCCACTGCTGGACCTCCTAATGGCACTGGTATTTCTGGCCACTGTGTGACACAGAGTGTTGGACTGGATGGGCCTTTGACCTGATCCAACATTGGCGTCTCTTATGTTCTTATGTTCTCAAGTTCAAGAGGAAAAAAGGTAAAGGTTCCCTTGCTCGAAAGCCAGTCGAGCGGGCTATAAATGTTTGCATAAATAACCAGAATAAATAAATCCAGCCATCTGGTAAAGCTTTATTCTGGCTTTCCTCCAGCGTAGTCAGGCAGTTTTCAAGTGAGGAAACCGAAGGGACTGCTCGCTCATGACTGGATCGTCAGAAACACAGAATGCTACAGAAGGGCACGAGAAGACATGAGCCGATCCTAAGTATTTGCCGATCCTAGGCATGCTTTCACTGCTACCTACATCCCAGAAGACAGGTTAAGATGCACCTGTAGGGGGTGGGGCTACCCATTTAAGGCTGGAATTTCATCGTGAAGTGACTTGGGAGAAGACCTCTTTGGACACAGCAGGGCTTGTGAGTAGGGTTTCAGCGCTGGGTACCTGGGGATTTGAGGGCGAAGCCTAGAAGAGTGGGGTTGAGGGAGAGGGTTTCCAGGTCTGTGTTGGAAAATACCTGGAGACTTTGGGGGTGGATCCGGGAGAGGGAGAGGGAGAGGGAGAGGGAGAGGGGAGGCCAGCCTGGTACAATGCCCTCCAAAGCAGCCATTGTAGGGAGCCAGTTTGGTGTAGTGGTTAAGTGTTTGGACTCTAATCTGGGAGAACGGGGTTCGATTCCCCACTCCTCCACATGCACCTGGCTGGATGACCTTGGGCAAGCCATAGTTCTGATAAGAGCTGTCCTTGAGAAAGAGCAGTTTCTGTCAAGAGCTCTCTCAGCCCCACCTACCTCACAGGGTGTCTGTCTGTGGTGAGGAGGGGAAGGGAGAGGATTTTGTGAGCCGCTCTGAGACACCTTTGGGTAGTGAAGGGCGGGGTATAAATCCAATCTCTTCTTCTTCTTCTTCTCCTCCAGGGGAGCTGATCTCTGTCAACTGGAGATAAGCTATGAAAGTGGGAAATCTCCAGGCAGGGGCAGATTAACCATGAAGCAGACTAGGCACATGCTTACGGCACCAGGGCCAAAGGGGGCACCACAAAGTTGGGAAAAGGGTGAAAAGCTTAGTTTGTATAGTATATTGTGTTATCATCAACGGTCCCTCTAAGTTATGGGGTCCTGTGAGCCAAAATTCTACTTTGTGAGCTGCTGGCCTCAAAGTCGTGAGCGAGCGATTTGGCTGCTGCATAAATTAGTTTCCTCTGGAGCCCTCCTTCCTGAGCGAAGACAAAAAGTTGTGAGCTGGAGGCTGAAATACTGTGAGCCAGCTCACACTAACTCAGCTTAGAGGGAACACTGGTTGTCCTATGAATAATTTTTTGTATTGCTGCAACCTGCATTGTATAGCTCGTCAGACAGGTCAAGAACTAAAATGGACTGGGGGTCAGTGTGGAAAGGAGGGGGGCACCAAGATTGGTCAGTGCTTAGGGCACCAGTGAGCCTTAATCTGCCCCTGTCTCCAGGTTCCACCTGGAGGGTGGCAACCCTATTGAGGGAGGGGGGAGAGACCTTTGCAGGGTATCGGGCCACGCAGTCCATCTTCCAAAGCAGTCATTTCCTCCTTGAGAAGTGGAATAAATGCTTTAAATAAAGATGTGATTGATGCACTCTGCAGAGTGCAGAGGGTTGGACTAAATGACCTTTAAGGTCCCTTCCAACTCTTAACAGTCTATGACTCTATGATTCTATGCATGGAGATCCTCTTTGAGAAGTGGAATAAATGCTTTAAATAAAGATGTGATTGATGCACTCTGCAGAGTGCAGAGGGTTGGACTAAATGACCTTTAAGGTCCCTTCCAACTCTTAACAGTCTATGACTCTATGATTCTATGCATGGAGAAACTAATTTATGCAGTAGCCAAATCACCTGCTCACAACTTTAATGCCAGTAGCTCACAAAGTAGAATTTTTGCTCACAGGACTCCATAGCTTAGAGGGAACATTGCCTGCAAGGTCCCTTCCAGCTCTAACAGTCTATGACTCTATGATTCTATGCATGGAGATCCTCTTTGAGAAGTGGAATAAATGCTTTAAATAAAGATGTGATTTATGCACTCTGCTCTTGCAGAGTGCAGGGGGTTGCACTAGATGGCCTGCAAGGTCCCTTCCAACTCTAACAGTCTATGACTCCGTGATTCTATGCATGGAGGTCGGTTGTCATTCCAGGAGATCTCCAGCCCCCACCTGGAGGTGGCAACCTGACTTGTGAGCGAGCCCCTCCCGGGGCCGCATGCCGGTTCTGGGCTCTCTGGACCTCCCCAGCGGGTGCAGGGGCCCTGGCTGGATGAGTCTGGGAGCCACGGAGAAGCAGGCCTCGGCGGGCACACGCTTGGCAGGCGGCAGGCAAAAGTCCGTCGCAGAGGGGGTGCCGGGAGGACACTGCTTGCGCTGACGGAGCGAAGGCCGCTCCGCTGCTCTTTGGACCCGGCTCCTTGGTGGAGGATCTCTCTGTCTCCCAGGCAGTCCCTTTAAAGCGACCGAGCTTGGCTCGTCCTCATTAGCTTCCAGAACAGCCACCCAACCAAGGGGTCTTAAAGGGGCCCTGGAGGAAGGACTTAGCAGGGCGGGGCGAAGTGCTTCTCTGTCTTCCTGGTGGACTGCTCAGGTGTGCAGGTGGGTAGAGCAGCACAGGCTTGCCCAGGCGGGGGGGGGCGGGGAGGAGGTTCTAGGTTTGGGGAGGGCCGTGTAATGGGAGGGAAGGAGATCTCATGGCCAAGCAGGGCCTGTTCTCTTCGCTTCTGTGGAATGCAAAGTCTGTGGGTGTTCAGCTCCAGGGCTGCTTGTGTGGCTTGCCAGGCAGTGTTCCCTCTAAGCTGAGTGAGTGTGAGCAAGCTCACAGTCTTTTAGCCTCCGGCTCACAGATTTTTGTCTCGGCTCAGGAAGGAGGGCTCCAGAGCAGTTTTCCCTCTAAGCTGAGTTAGTGTGAGCCAGCTCACCGTTTTTTAGCCCCCGGCTCACAGATTTTTGTCTCGGCTTAGGAAGGAGGGCTCCAGAGCAGTGTTCCCTCTAAGCTGAGTGAGTGTGAGCCAGCTCACAGTTTTTTAGCCCCCGGCTCACAGATTTTTGTCTCGGCTTAGGAAGGAGGGCTCCAGAGCAGTGTTCCCTCTAAGCTGAGTGAGTGTGAGCTGGCTCACAGTTTTTTAGCCCCCGGCTCACAGATTTTTGTCTCGGCTCAGGAAGGAGGGCTCCAGAGCAGTGTTCCCTCTAAGCTGAGTGAGTGTGAGCCAGCTCACCGTTTTTTAGCCTCCGGCTCACACATTTTTGTCTTGTCTCAGGAAGGAAGGCTCCAGAGCACTGCTCCCTTCAAGCTGAAGTAATGTGAGCTAGCTCACAGTCCTTTAGTCTCCGGCTCACACATTTTTGTCTTGGCCCAGGAAAGAGGGCTCCAGAGCAGTGTTCCCTCTAAGCTGAGTTAGTGTGAGCTGGCTCACAGTTTTTTAGCCTCCAGCTCACACAGTTTTGTCTTAGCTCAGGAAGGAGGGCTCCAGAGCAGTGTTCCCTCTAAGCTGAGTGAGTGTGAGCTAGTGCACAGTTTTTTAGCCTCCGGCTCACACACCTTTGCCTCAGCTCAGGAAGGAGGGCTCCAGAGCAAACTTATTTATGCAGCAGCCGAATCACCCACTCACAACTTTAATGCCGGGAGCTCACAGAGTAGAATTTTTGCTCGCAAGACACCACAGCTCAGAGGGAGCCTTATTTAGGAGGTTCCCGCTGACCTGGGGGCTCTCTCTCCAGCGGTTGGAGCGTGAGGCCGGCTGGATGACAGCAAGGATCCTTGGGGTGAAGGAGGGTTGCCAGTTTCCAGGTGGGCCCTGGAGATCTCCCAGAATTCCAGCTGATCTCCGGACAACTGCGATCAGCTCCCCTGGAGAAAAAGGGCTGCTTTGCGGGGTGGACTTCCCAGGGCGGGGGCTTCCAATCGCCCCCCCCCCAAGGGCTTTTATCCAGCCTGCAAGCAGGTGTTGCAGCGGAAGGAATGCAGGAGGCTGTGAGTGGGCAGGCATAGGCGGTGAGGTGTATGCCGTTGAAGGTGTCAAGAAACAGAAAGGAGATGGCTGGGGGGGGGCAAGATTAGGAGGCAAAATGGTGTGTGTGTGGAAGAGAAGGCGGAGAAAGAGATGAAGGGACGGGCCTGGGGCCTGGCGGGAGAGAGGAGGAGGAGGAGGAGGAGGGACGGTGCCTGGATTGGGAGGCAACTGGGCTGCCTTGCGGGTGCCGCTCTGAAGGCAAAGACTTCCCGGCCTCCCGAAGCGAGTGGAGGAGCGAAGGGGGAAAGGGGGGCCGCTGTCTCTGCTGCAGGTCTGAACAGCCACCGAGCCGGGAGGCGGAGTGAGTGTCGGGGAGCGTTGTGGGGGGGGGTGACCCCGCTTCTCCCCCATACCTGTTTGGTGTCTTGGTTAGGAGTGGGGGCTCTAATCTGGAAGAACCGGGTTTGATTCCCCGCTCCTCCTCCACATGCAGCTACTGGTGTGACCTTGGGTCAGTCACAAGTTCTCTCCGAGCTGCTCTCTCAAGGGCAGTCCTCGAGAGAGCTCTCTCAGCTCCACCTGCCTCACAGGGTGTCTGTTGTGCGGAGGGGAAGGGGAAGGAGATTGCAAGGCTAATCTGGGAGAACCGGGTCTGATTCCCCACTCCTCCACTTGCAGCTGCTGGATGACCTTGGGCAAGCCATAGTTCTGCCAGAGCTGTCCTTGAACAAGAGCAGTTTCTGTCAGAGCTCTCTCAGCCCCACCGACCTCACAGGGTGTCTGTTGTGGGGAGGGGAAGGGAAAGGAGTTTGGAAGCCGCTCTGAGACACCTTTGGGTAGTGAAGGGTGGGGTAAAAATCCAACCTCTTCTTCTTCTTCTAAGTGCACGGACTCTAATCTGGGAGAACCAGGTTTGGTTCCCCACTCCTCCACTTGCAGCTCCTAGATGACCTTGGGCAAGCCATAGTTCCGGCGCAGCTGTTCTTGAACAAGAGCAGTTTCTGCCAGAGCTCTCTCAGCCCCACACACCTCACAGGGTGTCTGTTGTGGGGAGGGGAAGGGGAAGGAGTTTGTCAGCCGCTCTAAGACTCTGAGTGAAGGGCGGGGTATAAATTCAACCTCTTCTCTTCTTCTTCCTCCTCCAGGTAGTGAAGGGCGGGGTATAAATCCATTCTCTTCGTCTTCTCTTCTTCTTCTCAGCCCACAAAGGGAAAAGCACCCCTTGGAGGTTTCGGAAACAGTGACTCCGTCAGGCCTTCCCCTCAGCCCTGCCGCTTCTGTGGGAAATGGAAGAGGGGATCCGGGAGACTCAGGTTCCAAAAAAAACCCCTCCTCCTGAGCCATGAACCTGTCGTCTGGGTCACCTGGGGCAGGTCACTCAGCCTGGACCACCTCGCAGGGTTGTTGTTGGTAGTGAGGACGAGGCGGTGGCGGGGGGGGTTCCAGTCTACCTCCTTGAGATCCCTCGAGGTATAATGAGGCGGGGGGGGGAGAGAGGAAACGAAGAACAAGAGACGGGACCGTAGCCGTGCTCGGTGGCTGAGGCTGGGCGTGTGGAGGAAGGTGCCGGCCAACTACCTTATTTCCTCTCTGAAAAGGGCTATATATTATACAAAAAGAATCTAATTTGTATGGAAATGTAAAATACCCCCTCCCCTTTTATAGTATTCCTTGGGGAGAAAAAACTACTCTGGCATATGATTAAATACATTTATTAGGCTTCTGTGGGTTCCCCAGTAAATCAATTGCTTTAACTCCTAGGAATCAATTGCATTCGTTTTTGGGGTAATGTGAATTGGATTTGCCTATATCCTTTATACAGTTTTTCTCTCCTGTACCTGGCATTACATTTTACAGCACACATGGCCCGGCCTGACAAAGTGAAAAAGGGTCAGGTCCAACGCTCCCTCTAAGCTTTGGAGTCTTGTGAGCAAAAATACTACTTTGTGAGCTCCTGGCATTAAAGTTGTGAATGAGCAATCTGCCTGCTGCACCAACCGGTTTGCTCTGGAGCCGTCCTTCCTGAGCGCAGGCAAAAAGGTGTGAGTCGGAGGCTAAAGAACTGTGAGCTAGCTCACGCTAGCTCAGCTTAGAGGGAACACTGGCCAGGAAGCGATTTTTCTCCAGGCCACCCGTGTTACGCAGTGGCTAGAGAAATGTGATCCTGTTTGGCCTGCGGTAAACCCCATAAGGGGTGAGCAGTGGCTCAGAAGTTAAGACGCCAAGCTGCAGACCGGAAGGTCGGTAGTTCGGCAGTTCGAGATCCGAGTGCGCCGCATGACGGAGTGAGCTCCCATCTCTAGTTCCAACTCCTGCCAACCTAGCAGTTCGGAAGCTAGAAATTGCAAGTAGATGAATAGGTACCGCTTAGGTGGGAAGGTAACGGCATTCCATGCGCCTTGGCGTTTAGTCATGCCAGCCACATGGCCACGGAAACATCTGCGGACAGCGCTGGCTCTTCGGCTTGGAAACGGAGATGAGCACCGCAACCCTAGAGTCGGACTCGACTGGCTTTCGAGCAAGGGAAACCTTGACCTTTACCTTTAATCTTAAACCCCATAAGGAGCAGACTTGGTGTTTTGTCCTGCTGGCGATCCCGTCTTTGAAATGGGTTCCCGGCAGAGCGTGCGTATGGCGAGAAGCAGCACCTGTGTTCTCCTTTGGGAGTCAGAGCCACGCATCATGGTGCTCAGTTCAGTTTGGTGTTGTGATTAAGAGTGGCGGACTCTAATCTGGGAGAACCGGGTTTGATTCCCCACTCCTCCGCTTGCACCTGGCTGGGTGACCTTGGGCAAGCCACAGTTCTGTCAGAGCTGTCCTTGAAAAAGAGCAGTTTCTGTCAGAGCTCTCTCAGCCCCACCTACCTCACAGGGTGTCTGTTGTGGGGAGGGGAAGGGAAAGGAGTTTGTAAGCCGCTCTGAGACTCATTTGGGTAGTGAAGGGAGGGGTATTAATCCAATATCTTCTTCTAAGAGCACGGACTCTAATCTGAGTGAACCGGGTTTGATTTCCCCCACTCCTCCACTTGCACCTGGCTGGGTGACCTTGGGCAAGCCACAGTTCTGTCAGAGCTGTCCTTGAAAAAGAGCAGTTTCTGTCAGAGCTCTCTCAGCCCCACCGACCTCACAGGGTGTCTGTTGTGGGGAGGGGAAGGGAAAGGAGTTTGTAAGCCGCTCTGAGACTCATTTGGGTAGTGAAGGGAGGGGTATTAATCCAATATCTTCTTCTAAGAGCACGGACTCTAATCTGAGTGAACCGGGTTTGATTTCCCCCACTCCTCCACTTGCACCTGGCTGGGTGACCTTGGGCAAGCCACAGTTCTGTCAGAGCTGTCCTTGAAAAAGAGCAGTTTCTGTCAGAGCTCTCTCAGCCCCACCGACCTCACAGGGTGTCTGTTGTGGGGAGGGGAAGGGAAAGGAGTTTGTAAGCCGCTCTGAGACTCATTTGGGTAGTGAAGGGAGGGGTATTAATCCAATATCTTCTTCTAAGAGCACGGACTCTAATCTGAGTGAACCGGGTTTGATTTCCCCCACTCCTCCACTTGCACCTGGCTGGGTGACCTTGGGCAAGCCACAGTTCTGTCAGAGCTGTCCTTGAAAAAGAGCAGTTTCTGTCAGAGCTCTCTCAGCCCCACCGACCTCACAGGGTGTCTGTTGTGGGGAGGGGAAGGGAAAGGAGTTTGTCAGCCGCTCTGAGACTCCTTTGGGTAATGGAGGGCGGGGTATAAATCCAATCTACTTCTCTCTCCTCTTTTTCTGCCTTTCAGTCCTCCGTGCCTTAATCTGACAAGCCGGGAGAAAGTCCTGCAGGGGCTCAGTTTCTGCCGCTCTGCCCTTTCTTGTAGGCGGAGAGATGGCGCCCCGGTGGCTGTGGCTGAACGTGCTGGGTGCCTTGGCGGTGGCTGGCGTGAGAGAATCGCTGCTGAACGTGTGCATGAATGCCAAGCACCAAAAAGATAAGCCTGGACCGGAAGACGCCCTGCACAGCCAGGTAGGGGCAGACCCCCAACTCGGGCCCCGGGCCGGTCCTCACATTGGCTGGGCTCCTGTAGCGGCCGGGCCGTAGGGAACGAGGGCTCCCACTCAGGGGTCATTTCGTAGGAAAAGAGGTGCAGGAGCTCATTAGCATAACCCATTAGCATAACTCATTTGCATAGGCCACACCCCCTAACCTCACCGGAAGGCAACACCCACCGCTCAGGCTCCACTGGACTCTTTTGGATTGCTAGCTATTG